AGAGAGAGAGAGAGAGAGAGAGAGAGAGAGGGGGCAGGGAAGGTGAGGGGGGATGAGAAGGACTGGGAAAAGTATAAAAAAATCCTCAATTTGATCATGTTGTTTTGTTTACCTTTATTTTACTGCTTACCCCTTCCATCTTTTCTGTCTTTCTTTCTCTCTCTCTCTCTCTCTCTCTCTCTCTCTCTCTCTCTCTCTCTTTCTCTCTTCCTCTGCTTCCCTCTCTTTGTCTCACTTTGTATGTCTCTCTCCCACTCTCCTCTCCCTTCTGAATTCTATTGCTCCGCCCCCCACCCCTTTTTTCAACCAGCCTCAACCAACCCCAGATTTTATTTCTACGACATGCTTCAACTGTAGCACGTACGCTGGTGTCCGTTCTTTCTTAGTCTTATGAGACTCCTTGATCGATCATTCCTCATTGCTGACTTGTTGCTGTTGTCGTTTGTCGTTGTTGTTATTGTTGTTCTTGTTGCTAATGTTCTTGTTGTTGCTGTTGCTGTTGTTGTTGTTGTTGTTGTTGTTGTTGTTGTTGTTGTTATTGTAACGACCACATTCTATCAGTAAAATTGTCGACGCTGCATGGATGCCCCGATGACACAGTTTATCTTAGTTAGGAGGCGGGCTGCTTCGACCCTGCTTGTCAGAGCCAACACGGAGTAATGAAGGATAGGCCTACGATATGCCAACAGGCAGACAGTGACAGAGGTGCTCGATTAATTTTTAAAATTTACAAAAACTGAACAGACACAGGCGAAGTCAGCAAGGCAAGACAATAGCAAGAGAAACGAAGTAAAATCGTTATAATGTCAATTTTGTAAAATGGACTGCAGCTACGCAACCAAAATGTAAACATGGCTCATTGTACAATCACTGCAGAATTGTGCCACCTGAAAGCACTTGATAGCAAAGTTTCTCGATATGGGTGGCTTCGAGAATAGGCTAACAGCAGTCAGATTTCTGCTGTAAGCTGACAAAATACTTTTTAAAATATGCACAGCAATAACGAGCAAAATAGTTTTTTTTTTGGTGAAAAATAGAGAGCTTCGGAAATTTAAATTCTGATTTATTAAAAAACTAGTCACACTTTGTTCCTTTTAGCACCTCAAGTAGGGTAACTAATCATGCTTTCGATTTAGCAAATTAAAAAATGTTGGCGCCAAAATGAAAACGGGCGTTTTGTCAGCTTACGGTAGGGCCTAGAGAAAGTGTGCCTTAGCAGTTTAAACCGGTTTGGCATGTTATTATCTGAGAGCCGGTTGTAGCGGGTGCTCTTGTGTGGTTTGCTCCTTCTCTCCTTTCAAACGTATCTGTCGTTCTTATCTTAACTCTTTCTTTCCTCTGTATGCTGCTCTCTAGTAACACCTCTAATCTTCGGCATTTATAAAATGATATCTACATGTGTTGCTAATATCGTAAAACTCTTACTAAAACTAAAACTAAACTAAAGTTTAAAAAAAATAAACCATTTTAACGGGCTGCACTGAAGCCCCGGATACAATGAATACGGCGATCCAAGTATGGAATGACCTGTTAAGATATTGCTGCTGTAATAGACAGGGACTTTATGCGTATGACAACAGGACAGACGCGACCGTTTTTCACTTTCATATATATATA